TTTTTTTTAGTTAGATACATACCATATCAAAATTTGGATGACGTCGTGTCGTTTCGACTGAGGAGTGACCTCCGCGCTGGCAAGATTGGGGCAATCGTTGTCTCTCTCTCACCTCTGAGCTGCTGACGACAGGTTTGGTTCGGCTCATCTCGGACGCCTACAGATGGGAAGTTCCTTCAGTGATTAGTTGCTTCTCTTCGGTGAGTGATGCTGTGTCCTGCCGCTTCCCCGCTCTCGACCTCGATTGCCTCGTTTCACACATGTGTCGGTACACGGGTTGTGCTCGATTCCGTGTTTCTACTTTTATCATGCGTGCGATGTCTGACGACACCACCCGCCTTGGCCTGAGGTGCCCAGGCGCTCGGGCCCGAGATGGCCACAAGGAACGCGTTGCCGTGCCTCGCGCCTCTGAGCTGGTCCCCAAACGTTTCCAGTCTGCCGTGTGCTTCATTGTTTTATCGGCCCTTCGAGCCCGTTACCTTACGGTGTGAGAACAGCTTCTGGTTTGGGAATCTGAATCGGGTGTGACTTTGATGAGGCGGGGCGGAGCCCTCGCCTCCCTTTGTCTCGGACCCGAGTCGCTTTGACCAGCGAGTATAGTAGAGAGAATCTTTCCCCGCTAAGAAACAAGGGTAAGTCATGGGGGTGCGTGCACATTAATGACTTAGCGAGGTTTGGGGTGTCGGTCTCATCGATCCTCATCGTGTCACTCAGCAGTCATCCTGGCCCCCCTCCCTTCTTGAGCTTTGGGCTCACCCATCCCTTTCCATCCAGGGTGTGACTTTGATGGGGCGGGGCGGAGCCCTCGCCTCCCTTTGTCTCGGATCCGAGTCGCTTTGATCAGCGAGTATAGTAGAGAGAATCGTTTCCCGCTAAGAAACAAGGGTAAGTCATGCTTTGGGCCTATTCGGGGCCTCCTGGGGGAGCTCTTTGGCCACTTGGAGCCGTCTTGGAGCGGTCTTGGGGCCTCTTGGAGCATCGTGAGAGCCATCTTGCGGCATCTTGAGATATCTTGAGCCATATAGGAGGTCAGCTTGGGCTCCCCCTGGCGTTCTTGGGGTCATCTTAATCAGTGCCCCCCCACCCAGGAGGCCAATCTGTGGCCAAAATTTACGTAAACGCGATGGTTTTAGCAATCTCGCCGAGGCCTCTTGGAGCGTCATGGGTGCCTCTGGGAGCTTCTTGGGGGCATCCTGGGGGCCTCTCGGGGGCCTCTTAGGGCCTCCTGGCCACCTCTTTGGGCCCTTTTGGGGCGTCCTTGGGAACCTTGGGAGCGCTCTTGGGGCCATCTCGGAAGAGATGGATCAAACAAGAGGGGAACGTTGGTTAGCGTCGTCCCCAGGGGGCCGCAAAGTGGCCAAAACCTTGGTAAAATCAATGATTTTGGCTTCCTCGCCGAGGCCGTTTCGGACGCTCCGGCGGCTCGAGGAACCCCCTGTCCAGGTCCATGGGGTCGGAGTAGGGGGAGGGGGCCGTCTCGCTCACTCCCACCCGCCCTCCCAACACATACGTAGCGCCCGAGCCTGGCCCGAGCCGCAGCATATGCAGCAGTCTTTTTTGGATGGCCAGCTACTGGGGGCCAATCCGCCGCCGCCGCCGCCGCTGCCGCCGCTGTCCGTCGCTGCCGCCGCCGCCGCGCTGCCCGCCGCCGCCGCCGCCGCAGCCGCTGCCGCAGCAGTCGCTGCCGCCACCGCTGCCGCCGCCGCCACCGCCGCCACCGCCGCCGCCGCCCCCGCCGCCGCCGCCGCCGCCCCCGCCGCCGCCACCGCCGCAGCCGCCGCAGCCGCTGCCCCCGCCGCCGCCGCCGCCGCCAAGTGTACTCTGTTTTTCGACAGGGATGGTGGGTGGCGGCCGCATCGGGTTCGCTGCGCATGCTCCGAATTTGGAGACAGACTGTGTGTTTGTATTGTCTTTCACAAGGGATGGTGTGGGCAGAATGTGTTTTGTATTGTTTTCAACAAGGGATGGTGAGGGGGTGCCCGCATGGACCTGGGTTGCCCCCCGATCGCCTGGGGGAGGGGGTGTATATTCATAGGGAACAGTGATGAACCCCTCCCCGAAGGGGAAGAATGAGGGGTGGAAGGGAAACGCCCTAAACCACCGACGCCCAGAGGGCTGGTGGGACTCTATCTAAGAGGCCCCCGAAGACATGCCAATAATTTTCCATGACGACTTCAAGAAGCAGCCCAGGATGTTCCGAAAAAGCCCCGAGAAGCTAGCTAGAACTCGAGCGCGCGCGAAACGCGCGCGATGATTCTAGTATACATGTATGTCGATTATGTGTGGCTTGCGGAATCGGCCGAAGGCTGGTGAGTTCTTTCTGGAACGGCCAGTAAGTGTATCAAAGTCTGGCACGCCGAACACCCTTGGCGGAGACGCCTGCCTCGAACCACCGTCGCCTCCTGTCGTTCGGAGAGGCCTCCTGGTGGGCCTCCCAATGCCAGTGCCTTTTGGGGGGCCGCTGGAGGCCTCTCCTCTTGGGGCTCTTCGGTCATCTTGGGGTACGCCTAGCCCATCGTGCGTCTGGCCCTTTCGGAGGCCGGCCTCTCTAGGCCGTCGTGGGGAGCTTTGTGGCCGTCTTGGAGGTCTCTTGGTGGCCTCTTTGGGATGTCCAGGAGGTTTATGGGAGGCCTATTGGAGGCCTTCCTGGGGACCTCTAGGGGACCTTTAGGGCGCCTGAGGCCTGCTGGTTTCTCGGGGGCCCGGAGGCGGTCTCGGGGCACATCTTCGGGGTAGGGAACGTGCGAGAGCGCTCCAGATCGCGCGGAACACGAGGGTCTGACAATGTTCACGGGTCCGAGTTGCTCTGTCAGCGCCCACCCTATGCCATTCAGCCCGACGGCCCTTCTCGGACCACCCACGCGCACCGGATTCACCCCCGGACGCGATCCCACCCCCCACGCTGCGTGAAGGAGAGCCCATTCTCACCCCCCCTCGCGATCCCCCCCCCGCGCTTATTGGACAGCTCGGAGTACTCGCAGAGAGCTGGAAGGGGCCCAAAGAACACCCCACTTTGTGCCTGCGGCACGGGGCTCTTCTCTGGAGGCTGGCGCGGACGCAGCGCAGTTCGGCGAGTTCCTGTGCGAGGACTGCCCCATCGCCTCAACGCTGCGGCTTGAGTTCCTGAATTCGTTGCCTCTTCTTGGCGGGCCGGCTGTGCGAGGAGGAGCAGGATGAGGAGGAGGAGGAGGAGGAGGAGGGGAATAATAACAAGGAACAATGACGATGATGGTGATGATGACCACGGTGATGCTGCTGCTGCTGATGATGGTGGTGGTGGTGATGGTGATGGCGATGGTGATGGCAATGCTGATGACGATGATGATGCTGCTGATGATGATGACGATGATGTTGCTGCTGATGATGATGATGATGATGATGATGATGATGATGATGATGATGATGATGATGATGATGATGATGATGAGGAGGAGGAGGAGGATGAGGAGATGGAGGAGGAGGAGGAACAAGGGAGGAAGAGCTGTTGGATTGAAGAGGCGCATCGGCAATCCGCAGCTTCCTTTCTGGCTCTCAAGTGTTTCTCCCCTCGCCTCCCGTCCCCTTCCCTTCCATATTATAATTGTCATCATCCCACGCTCTTTTCATATCCATCCTCCTCTTTCTCCTCTACAGATCATCCTCCTGAGCCCCGGCCCTGGAGGCCCCTTGGTTCTCGTCGTTTGTTTCTGTCTCTCTGTCTCTCCATTATTTCTGTCTCTCTCTCTCTCTCTCTCCCTCTCTCTCGCCAGTTATTTGTTTGAATCACGCACCCGCCGTGTTTATGTCAAACTAAGTTGACGTTGCCTCTCCTCATTGTCTCTGCCGTCGTTGTCTCCACCCTGCTTGTCCCGATCGTTTGCGTAGCTGGTCGTCGGAGTTCGGCTGCTCGATCGACTTGACAGATGTGGGGTTGCATCACGCGCGCCTTCCGGCGCGCAGCTCAGTCTGGGCGTTGTCTTCCAGGGCCAGACGCCCTCCTCTTCCTCCTCCCTCGTCCTCGGTTCCCTCCATCCTCGTCATCCTCCCTCGTCCTCCTCTCCCTCTTCCTCCTCACTTGCTGTTCTCAACTAACCATCCCCGCGCCACCCGCCCATCGCTGTCCCCCTTCGCCCCTGCGGCCCAGTCCACTCGCTCGCGTGGCATTGTTGCACACGTCTGCGCACGGCTGTTCATCGCCCTGGTGAAGGGCCTGCGCGGGATCTCCATCGGCCCCTTGACCGCAGTTACGCGGACCGCCCAGCCCGTGCTTCAGATGTGAGCGTCTTGGGGGGGCTCGTCCTCAACGTTAGACCCTCATCCCTCCTTCGTTTTTTTCCTCCCCCCTCGTTTTTTCCCCTCATCCCTCCTCCTTCTTTTCCTCATTCCCTTTCCTCATCCCTTTCCCTCATTCCCTCATCCTTCGCTTCCCTCATCCAACTTCATCCCTCCTCTTCCTCCTCCTCCTTGTTTTCCCTTCCTCTTCGTTAGGACCCTCCTCCCTTTTCCTCCTCCCTCCTCCTCCGTTTTCTCCCTCCCCCCCCTTTCCGCTGGCGCAGCGCCGTGCTGCAGCTTCCCTCTCTGCCCCTCGCACCCTCCCTCCTTCCAGCTGCCTCCCAGAAAGGTCTTAGTGGCCGTTTCTTTGGAGAAGAAAAAGGGGCGCGCGCCGAGATCCATTGCAGACGAAATTTAGGTTTTTTTTAGGGTTTCGGCGTGCAGGCGCGCCCTGCCGCGCGGTGGTTTCCAGGATGTTCCAGGGCGCCCAGTGGACTGAAGGAGCTTCCCCCTCCTGCTCCCGGCCTTCGCCCCCCTTCTCCCCCCCCGCCTGCGGTCGCAGGCCGTCCGAAGCCGCGGCGCGCGGAGCCCGAGCAGGCTGACGCTCGAGAGGACGAAGAGCTGGAGCTGGAGCTGGGCTCGAGTTGCATCGGAAGCCGGAGCCGGAGCTGGGCTGCATCGCGCGCGCGCGCCGTGGCAGCCAGCCAGGCACTGGAGCAGTCTCCGCGCTGCAGACCGCCGCGAGGGAGATGGACGTGCCGCGCGGGTTCCTGAAGGCCGCGGGCCCCCCCCCCGGGCCGGCGCCGGGTGCCCGACCGCCTGCTCCGCCACCGCCTCGTGACCTCCGCTTTTCTCTGCACGAGGACGCCACGGGGTTCCGCAGCGAGGGCCGGAGGAGGAAAAGGTGCCGGTACCCACACCGCTACCCTTCGCCCGTTTCCCTCTTTTTCGGGCTCCTGGGAGGCCCTCGTCGCCACCGCTGGATTCGCTTCGAAATCCTGGTCAGAACGCACCCCGGGGGAGGTCCAGGGAGTAGCGGTATCGGTATCTTTTGGCTTTCCCAGAGGGTGGGGACTAGGGGTGTGTGAGTATCATGGCCGTGGCCGTGAGCTTCTCACAGATCCATGGTCCCGCTCTTCTCTTGTCGATGCTCGCCCCGGTCCCCCCTCGTCCGCGCGCGCGCACCAGGTCACCATGCACTGGCCCCCTTTCTCCTGAGGCCCCCTCTTCGGCACACCCGAGGGCAGAGGCATGGGGCCCGCGAGTAAGCAGGATGCAACACAGCGGAACAGGAAAAGGGGGGCATTGGCAGCGCGCGCAAGGGGATTGGCGCGAGGGATGGTTTTCCAACATGGCGAGGGGCCTCAGAAGGCAAACGGTTGCTTGGAATGTCCAGGTGTTCTGAGAAGGCTTCTTATAAGCCGGGAGGTTACTAAAAGTGTTTTTGCTGCTCCATATCCTTGTGCGCGCCGCGAAAGCAGGGGATTCGGCATCGCAGTTTTCGCTCGGTGGTGTGGGTTCCCGAGCGATGCGCAACTAGGTGGGAGTGCCCCCAGCACGGGCCGAGGTCTATATATGAAAGAGTGAGGGGGCCGAACGGTCATTCACTGTGACTGGGTGCGTGGCTGAGGTGGGGTTCCGCAGTGTGGATTGTTGTTGCGTTGTTTTTGAGTTCTCATTTCTTGGAAGTCATCATTGTTGACCCCCCCCCTCCGGTGACCACAGTTTTTTTCGGTTGAGGTGCCCCTCCTGGGGCTCGCACCCTGTTCTTGTATCGAGAAATCGAGTGTCACCACACTGTGTTGTCGGCCCCTTGTTTAAAACAACAGCGGTTCCCGCCTGATATTTCCTCGCAATTGATTTCAAACTTGCGCTCTCGCTCGGGACTTCCTCACAATGTCTGCAGGAGGTCGCGCTCTCGCGTGGGATTTTCACACTTGATTCAGAAGCCGCGCCCTCGACGCTCAGGAATCACGCTCTCGCTGTGGATTTCCTCACGATTTACTTGGGAATCGCGCTATCGTTCGAGACCTCCTCAAGATTCATGCAGGACTCACGCTTCAGCAACACGCATGCTCGACCTGGCCGCCTCCCGCCCGCTAGGGTCTACCCGCTCGATCTGCCCGCTTGGTTCTGCCACGTGTGTTCTGCTCTTAGTCCCCCTTTTGCTGATCTCTCTCGTGCTCCATCCTTTTCCCTCCCCCTTCCATCCGTTCTCTCTTCCCGTGTTGTAGAGGCTGTGCCAATTACACGTGGGAGCTAAGGAAGATATTCCCCTTAGGGGGTGTGATCGAAGACGAAGAGGGCGGGTACGGAGAGTTTGGGATATTCGTGCTGGACGGCGCGCGAGCAGGTAAGAGCGAACAGTCTTGAAGTGATTGTTTTTTGGCTCTCACGGGTTGATGTGTTGACGCGTTCGCGACCCGCCCGCTTGACTTGGCCGCTTGGGCTCGCCTTTCCGGCCCCGCTCGCTAGGGTCTGCCCGCTCGATTTGCCCGTTTGGTTCTGCCACATGTTTCTGTTACCCCTAGCCCCCCTCCTGCTGATTTCTCTCCTGCTCCATCCTTCTCCCTCCCCCTTCCCTCCTTCCCCTCCCCTGTTTTAGGGGCCGCGCTAAGTGCACGCGGGAGGCAAGGAAAATGTTCCCGCAGGGGGATACGATCGAAGACGAATTGGGCGGTCACCGAGGGTCTGGGATGCATGTTCTGGGTGGCAGTATTGCAGGTAGGGGCGACTTGTGCTATGGAAGATCGCGGATCTGAATGGTTTATCGCCCGTAGACACGCTAACGGCGGTGTAAGAAACGGCGATGTAGGTTTCGGTATTGTGGGAACGCGCAGGTCGTGTTTCCCCACAATTCGTTGTGCCGTTTTCTTTCGATACGTTTGCAGATTGGAAATGTAGGAAAGAATGGATCGTGATTTCCTACAAGTTGGTTCCCACCATCGCCGTTTAGTAACATCGCCGTTAGCGTGGCCTTGGATCGCCCCCCCAGTTGAGAGGACAGCGTAACTCAATCAGCCGAGGGCCCCCGGGGAGTTTGGGTGGCGGGGACAGCAGAGGCACCAGCAGCAACAAGGCGGGAGCACGTTCGACCCGAGGGAAGCGGCCAGACTCACACGAACAGTCTTAAACAAATGATTGTGGTGCCGTTCTTGTGGATGTGGTTGTGGTTGTTGTTGCTGCTGTTGTTGTTGGCGGTGGTGGTGGTGTTGGTTTTGGTGTTGGTGAAGTTGCTGGTATTGCTGCTGCGGTTGTTGTTGCTGTTGCTGTAGCTGCTGTTGCTGTTACTGTTGCTGTTATTGTTGCTGCTGCGGCTGTTGTTGCTGTTGTTGTTGTTGTTGTTGTTGTTGCTGTTACTGTTGGTGCCATTGTCATTGTTGCTGTTGTTGCTGCTGTTGCTGTTGCTGTTACTGTTGCTGATGTTGTTGTGGCTTTCGCTGTTGTTTTTGAATTATCACTTCTCAAGAAAATGTACCGTGGACTCTGGCCAGTGCCGCCGATCCGGGGCGCTCTGGATGCTGGTGGTTGGCACGGCGACGATGACGACGACGACGACGACGACGACGACGACGACGACGACGACGACGACGACGACCTCGACGCCGACAACGGTCGACCAACGATGGAGGACCAGCGACTCTTGATTGACGACGAAGGTTCGACCACGAATGATCGGCGACGGTCGACGACCGAGGGTGCCTCTTGGAAGTTTGCTCGGGCCTCGTTGGGGCCCCTCGGCAGTGCATTGGGGCTCCGAGGGGGCCTCTTGGGGCCCTCTTGGGGGGGCCTCTTGGGGGCCCTCTTGGGGGGGCATCGTAGGGGCGAAGACATGACATGTACGTTTTTCTCTTCTCTGGGGGCCCTCTTAGGCCCGTCCTCGGGCACTATTGGGGCGTCCTTGGGGTCTCTTGGGCCGTTTCGGTGCGGCTTGATTTCTGACCCTGCCAGTGCTACCGAAGGGGTGGCTCGAACCTGTTCGCACGCCTTTTTGGAGAAGAGTACTCCTTGAATCGGTTGGACCCCCTCTGGCCAACGGGAGCGCTGTACTGCATCCTTGGTCTGCTGACTGCCATCCGACCCGCTTCCTAGGCGTCCTGAGAGGCATTATGTTCTGCCTGAGTTGTCGGCTATTCTGTATCCACCATCTCCGTGAGCTCTGCACGTCCTGTAGGCCCCCATCAGCCAAAGTGCAGGGCGCCCTTTCCCGACGCAGCGTAGGATGTTGCTTCGGTCATGATTGGCTTGTGTTGAAAGGGTCTGCACAGTTTTTTATCTGCGGCCAGGCTTGCACATGGGACCCACTCTAATAACATTTGCGCCAGCTTTCTCTCTCTCTCTCTCTCTTTCACACTCTCTCTCTCTCTTGTTGCCTCTCTCTCTCTCTCGTTGTTGTTTGTTTCTCTCTCTCTCTCTCTTTCTCTTTCTCTAGGAGCAGACCCTGTTCCCAAGCCGCGCTCGCAGTGCACGGTCTGGTCTGGCGGACTACGACTGTCGCTCTCCACCGGCATCGCATAGATTTGGTGCATAAGTGGTATCGCCATCTTCGCACAGTGTGGTTCGTTCTTCCTTTCCTATCCTCTCTTTTTCCATCCCATCCCCTGCCTCCTGTCCCCCTACGTATCCCCCCCCTCGGCCCCCCTGCGGAGTCCCCCTCCTCCTCCTCGTCCTCGTCCTCGTCCTCGTATTCCTCCTGCGCAGGCAGACAGGCTCGCGCAGGGCGTGGCGCACTTCTGGTGGCGGCAGCACTCGGAGGAGCTGGCCGCGCGGAAGGCCGCGGCCGCTTCCCCACGCTTGGCCGGCACTCCTCCTCCTCCTCTTCCTCCTCCTCCTCCTCCTCCTCCTCCTCCTCCTGATGACATCAGTATAATTTTCGGAGGCCCGCGCGGATTTCTCGGATTGGCGCGGGAGCCCCTGGTGCGCTCCGCGCGCCAGGGAGGGGTCCCAGCGCCGATCCGACAAATCTGCGCGGACCTCCGAAAGGTCATGTTTATGTCATTGCGTGCTCCCCAATCCCCCTTCGGGCCAGCAGTGGACTTGTTTCGTGTGAAGCGCCAACCTTCCAGTCAGGCCCCGCTTCCCAAGTGCTTCCCCTCTAGCGTCCGTTACGAGCCTCGGCCTTCGGCTCGCTCGGCTCCCGACCTGCTCCCCCCTCAGAGCTCGCAGAGCAGACCGCCGTTCTGCACCAGGATCCGTGAATTGGTGCTCGTTTGAAGAGGGTTTTGTACCCCCTGGTCCAAAACGCGCTTTATCCGCCCCCCCCTCCCATAACGTAACGCCCCCCCCCCCGAGTGCGTCGCCCGTCACCCGCACGACCGCAGTGCGACTGTCACCACAGTCTGTGGTGCCAGACCCACACGGCGGGGGGGGAGGGGCGTTCCGTTATGCTTTCTCCCTCCTCCCCATGACACTCGTGATCGCCAGGAATAACAAAGTGTTCTCTTTGCCCCCCCCTTGCCGTAGACTGTTTGGTCCAAGGGCGCCTCGGCCCTGAACGTCCAAGCTCGTCCAGGGCGTTCGAGGGCCAGGCCTCGAGGGCAGGAATGATCCCATGCTGTCGGAACAAGCGGAGGGGGTGGAGGAGGAGGAGGAGGAGGAGGATGACTACGACGATGAGGAGTAGAAGGAGGTGGAGGAGGAGGAGGAAAGGGAGGTGGTGGAGGAGGGAATGGGGGGGGATGGGCCATCTCCGTCGAAAGGTTAATCACCCCCCCTTAATAAACACGCCACCCAGGGTATCCAAGGCCACGCTGTCTGGCGCGGCCGCTGCGCTGCCGTGGCCTCGTTCCCCAATCTCTCCCGTCTACACAACTCTGATTGCCGCAGGTATGATGCGCTTCCCGACACGTTCAAAAGTACCTGGCAGGACGCTTCCTGACATGCTCGCGTCGTGAAAAAAAACACGACGGAAGGTGTTTGGCCGTTTTCGGTCTTTGGGGGCCCTGGCCGGGCCCCGGGAACGTCAACAAACGATTCGCGATGAAAAAACAGTTTTGGGGAAAGGGTCGGGACTTCTGGGGACCCCGTATTGAAAAATCAGGACATCGCATGTCTGGATCCCCCAAGGGGCCCGAAGGTACCTGCCAGGACGCTCTCCTGGCAGCCCGAAGCTATTTGCAAGGACGCTTCCCCCTGCAGCCCGAAGGTACCTGCCACAACGCTTTCCTGGGCCGTCCGAAGGTACCTGCCAGAACGCTTTCTTGGGCCACCCGAAGGTATCTGTTAGGACGCTTTCCTTCCTGGGGCGCCCGAAGGTACAGAGAGCGTTCGCACTCCACGCAGGAAATCCTGCAATGCTCGATCAGACAAGGCGATTCAGGTTTTCGCGAGCTTGGCGTTCATGTTTGTGCGATTCAGGACCAGTTGCATTACGCGAAACACATACGTATGATCTTCATATGCAGATGTGCATATCATCCCTGCTACGCCGAGGCATTGAAACAGATGCGGGACAGAGTCTCGAGCAGATGGCACACGACCAGAAGCGTGGTGTGACCAATGTGAGAAGCGCATGCCAGGGAATGATTCACGACATCTCGCCTCAGCGCCGCGCACATTCGTCTACAGTCAACCCGCATAGTAAGGATAGGCAACTTTCCAAGATCACCCTTGCATCCTTCCCCTTCGACCCATCCTTGGCCGCTTTCGCTGGTCGCGCCCCGCTCGCAGAGTGTCGACATGGCCTTCAACGCCCCTTGCATCCTTGTCGCGCGTACTTATTTTACGGGCTGACTGTAAAAGCTTGCAACCATTTCACGGATGGAGGGTGGGCCTTTTTCCATAATGTGATTATCGCCTTAACGTCGCGCACATTCGTTTTCAAAGGTTGCACAAGTTTCACGGATGGAGGGCGTCTCCTTTCCAGCATGTGGTTATTGTTTCAGCGTCGCGTACATTCATCTTAAAAGTTGTAAAATTTGCAAAAGATACCCGCATGGAGGACGAGGACGAGGAATCGCGGACGGCGCACGGGTGGCAGCGGAAAGACCCAAGCAATTCGGGACCGCCGGAGATTTGGGATGCGTTCTCGGCGGCGAGCGAGGGGAGGAAGTGAGAAGGAGACGGCCTTCCCAGAAGGCGGCGGGACTTTCAGAAGCCCTCGCACCTTCTGAGAAGTTGTCTGTGTCTCCCGGGGAAGGCTCAGACAACTTCTCAGAAGGCTCGGGGACTCCCGAGCCTTCTGAGAAAGCCCGCCCCTTCTCATTTCCCCTTGGGCTCGCTGCCGACGTTCGGCCCGAACGATGAGGAGACTTGGAGGCCGTTCGGACGGCAGAGCCCCCAAGAGGAAAAGGGCGGGGACAAGATAGTGCTCGCCGAGATCAAAGAGAAGATTCAGGAGCATCGGTCCCCCAAACGGGCACCTGGCAAATAGCATTGTCGAGCAGGCAACAGCAAGACGGAGTAAATGAGAGAGAAGATCAGCGACCTCCCCCCTTGCCAGAACAGAAAGTCGGACGAGGGAAGGGCAAGCTGCAGTGGCCGCAGAGGCCCAAGACTAGGAGAAACACATGCATCCACGGCTTTCGAGGGCAACGGCTGATGGACAAACAACGGGTCCGACAGTACCAGGGTCATCAGCCCAAAAAAGGGGCCAACAAGCCTCAACCCAGAGAAGGCAGGTAGCACATCACAAAGTACGATCGACAATGGAGAAGACAGGTAGCACATCACAAAGTACGATCGACAAGGGGAAGGAGGATGCGATGGGCGTGCGCGGTGAAGGACAACGGACTACTACCGCGACTGCGTCGTAACTACCAATGGCCTCTGAAGGGGTTCAAACGTAAAGGCCCTCCAGAGAGCCCCGTTTTCGGTCGTGGGGCCCGCTGGAACTCCCAGAGCCCCGAGTCCTCGACAATCCGACGCCCGGCCGTGCCAGCAGTTTGTGGCTCCCGCCTTTTTTTGAAGGGCGCCAGCAGGTCTCGTGGCGTCAGGAGCGAGCGTGCCAGGCATGGCAGAGAGAGAGCGAGATCGCGTCAGTTTCAAAACGTAGCGTTAAGTCGGGGGTGTCCTTCCACAGGAGGAAAGGTAAAAAATAGTCAAGAAATACTCTGGGGACGATTTTCTAGTTATTTTTGACATGTTTGATGTATTTTGTTTACTACTTGTTACTTTTATCCGTAAGGGCTTCGCCCCCTGCCGCCGGCCCCCTCTCTCGGAGAATGGGCCATGGAAGAGCAGGTTTTGGACCCTGATCCCGCGGATCTGCGTGAGGGGTGGCACCGAATTTCAGAAATGTGGCAAATCCCCTTTGTTTTTGGACCCTGACCCCGCGGATCTGCGTGAGGGGTGGCACCGAATTTCAGAAATGTGGCAAATCCCTGTGTTTTTGGACCCTGACCCCGCGGATCTGCGTGAGGGGTGGCACCGAATTTCAGAAATGTGGCAAATCCCCTGTGTTTTTGGACCCTGACCCCGCGGATCTGCGTGAGGGGTGGCACCGAATTTCAGAAATGTGGCAAATCCCCTGTGTTTTTGGACCCTGACCCCGCGGATCTGCGTGAGGGGTGTCGATTTTGAGCCCCCCCAGCAATTCAGACAACGCGCCCAGGTGGTGCTAAAAATCTGGTTTGGGCCTCCCTCCCCTCGCGCGGTCAATCAACTAGTTACAGTAACCAGCAAGAAGCAGAACTGTAACACTGGAAACTACAAACTACAACTGGTACAGGAAACTGCGAATCACGGGCCTACAGCCTGGTGGCCCCACAAGGGGGCCGGCGGATTTTTCGTCCAAGATCCGCCTGTAGGGGGACATGCCCGACCTAAACGTAGCAGAAGATCGGGGCGAGACAGCACAGGCTCCAGCTGATCAACGAGCAGCTGCCATCTCTGTGACAGGGGAAGCGTTCGACTCGGCAGCTCCAGTCGGGCCGAACGAAAGGGGGGGATATGGAAAGGGGAGGTTACGACATCTGCTGCATGCAGCTGGTTTCGGCCCCGCCGCCGGGCCCATTCCTCGATACATGGGCGCCTCCCGGCGCCCGGAGGCGCGTGAGCTGATTCTCAACCCACCCCTGTGCTATCCCCCCCTTCCGCCCGGTCCGAAACTCGGCAGCTCCGGTCCCCACCGACCAGAGGGAGCCATGCGTTCGATGCTCGTTTCGGGGACCTTCCTGGAGCCCACCTAACGGATCTTTTCGACCCCAGTTCGACTCAAGTTCGACTCAAGTTCGACTCAAGTTCGACTCAGGTTCGACTCAGGTTCGACTCAGGTTCGACTCAGGGTCGACCCAAATCGACTGACGTTCGACGCAGCTTCGACGCACGAGTGGAGCGAGTGGCTCCAGGAAGGTCCCCAGAACGAGCATCCAACATGCGAGGTGCGTCTGGCGGCGGCTCGAGGAGCAGGCGCTCAGACTACTGGAGGCGCGAAGGACTGCACAGAGATCACCGTTGGGGCGAGACAGAGATCCCTCCATCCTCCATCCCGCTCCTGCTCCTCCTCCTCCTCCTCCTCCTCCTCCTCCTCCTCCTCCTCCTCCTCCCCCTCCGTAGCCATTTTGGCTCAAGATGTCTGCACGAGAGGGCTTCCGCGCCCTCGTGCCAAAGTGGGATTGCTCTGTTTCCCGAGCAAGTCAAGGCAGTTCTGCCTGGCGCCGCCCGACGCGCGCGTTTCTCTTGGCCTTGTGGCTGGCCTCGTTGCTCTCCCGAGCAGGCGAGGGACCATGGCGCCTGGGGGCCGCGGCGGTGGCGAGGCCAAGCCCGACTGGTACTGCCGTTTCTGCAAGTACGAGCGTGGGCCCAAGGTCGGGATGCCCTGCATCTCGTTCGGC